GTCCTGGTCTCCTAGACTCTGATGACAGAAGGACATTCTCACTTGGCCTCATGACAGTCTCCTCTATACATTTGCTTCCTTCTCATTTTGGCAGCTAGAAAAGGATCTCAGTTCATTATGTGGAGCTTATGCCGCTGAAAGAAGACACCAACACTACAACAGGGCTGGTGGGACTGCCCTGTGGATCTTATCTCTAGGAATCCATGCACAGTTTAAAATTATTCCTCCTTACTTACTCGAAGCAATTACAGTTAGAGCTAACAAACAACTGCCTAAACTGTCCAGAGCTTGGAAAAGTTACTTTTGGGGTTTAAACTCCCAGAACCCCTGTCAGAAGAAAGTAACTCTTTAAAAACTTACTCTTCTAAACTTAGCTCAAAATTTAAAAAAAAATGCCATGCCATTCCCAATATGATCCTACTAGATATTTTTCTAAGGGTCTGAACTGCAAATCAGTCTTAATTGGAATGTATTCCTTAAATGGCCTTAGGAAGGTTGCCTTCTCTCAGGTCTCCCACCTGCAATGGGGGATGATAATGACTTGTGCTACAGGGATGCTGTAACAAAACAATGCTGGAAAAGTTAGGGCCACTTTCACATAGCCATGAACTAATTTTTTGTTCAGTGTATCTTTGCAATTTGATCAGAGGAGATGTTAAGGAGAATTTACATTATTTTTTCTTCTGCTGCTGTCTTGTCATATATTTAAAGTAGCAGGTCTATTTGCTGATATTGCAGTTGTATCTTGGTCCTTTTTTTAGTGTGATTCTTTACTTTGAAAAAGAGTACAACAGGGTCGTTCCCCAACCCCCCCCCCCCCGTTTCTATTGGTTTATCCCTAGGGAAAGGTGAACACTGCAAGCTGCTTGGTCTTACACTTGGACAATCTCACAAAGAGGTGGGGAAGGTTATTTTTCTGAACTGCAGCTCTCAGAATGCCCCCACCAGTATCACCACTGGCCCGTTGCCTGGAGTCCCTTGGAAATTGTAGTCCAAAAAGTTGACCCATCTCATCTCTGGGTGCATGCAGTTATTTTCTTGCCATGGGGAGGCTGACTGAACTACTACACTGAAAAATGTTTTTTTTTAGCTCTGGTCTCTGTAAATAACCATGCTTACATGACTGCAAACATGTCAGTGCAGAGAAAAGAGCACATTTCCCCTTGCCTTGCAGGCTTTTACAAGCCTTGCAGGTGCCTGAGAACAGGAGGGGCAATAGGGTCCCTCTCCCCTCCCCACCCCATCGCTTTATTGCCCTTGCAGAGCTAAGAGACTGAATGCTTTGTAATGAAGGTATATTGTAACATTTCTCACCAGGTGGCACTTTGTTAGCAACAATTAGATCCTGATTGATCTTTGAAGGGCTAATTCTTACATGGTTTCCAAGGGTCCTAGAAGGAGTAAGTGTTGAGTGGGAGCACTTTAAGAGTATTAGTGGGAGATGCAGAGAGGAGAGGGGAAAAAAGAATAGAGCCTCAAGACATTTGCAATACAATGACCATTTTCTTCTTTGCACCCCTTTAACAAGCATTAGTTAGCACAGTAATTTGCTCTTACTCCTGTTATTATCCCCTCGGGCACTAATGGTCACTTTATTAATTAGTTGAAAATTGTATTCTAGGTCAAATGGCAGCTTTGTTCCTCCATTGTTGCAAATTGCTCCTGGTAGGCCCCCCAGATAAGTGGGAGCCTTCCTGCAAAAGGGGAATGATCCTTCACTTGTCAAGAGAAAGCCCCCGTGGGCCAGCTGCACTTTCTAGGGGCTACAGAAAGGATTTCAAAATGGCTAAGCATAACCATTCCCAAGATGGGTTTTTAAGCAGTCATAGTCACTTTGTTGGTATGATTTTTAATCATTTTATTCTATGTGGTGGTTTTTCACAAAAGCCACGATGCCCCTCTCAGCTCTTTGGTAATTGTGGCACCAGGGTTTGAATGATGACACAAAATTGCGCACCTCTTCAAAGCACTAACAAAGGTCCATCCACGTTTGTGCTTTGTGTTTCAAATGCTCCTTTACATAAGCTGTGACATGCAAGCAGAAATAGCCTGAGAACACCTTACTTGAGATCCAAGCTTAGTCAAAATAAAAGCAGGCTTCTCTGACGGCTCAATCACACTGTGTTAACATCCCAGAATATAGTGTTAACACATCACTCTTTGGCTTTATTTGATTGACTCTTACCATACTGATGAGGCAGCCTCTTCTACCGCCTCCAAAGATAGTAGGCTAACTTAGGGGTATGGAATAGTTTTGTTCTCCAAAGGACAGGGGCTCCTGTGACTACCCATTTCTACAGCACCCATCACCTGCTGTTTGCAACAATTGCCCCGCTATAACAGAAGGTCCAGCTCTAACAACTACATAGCCCATGGTAGTTTATAACTCTAACCTGTACATGGAGGCACAACAATGGCAGTTCAATACATTTGGGCCCACCATATTGCATCCTGCATAGTGGACGCAGAAAACTAGGCATTAAGAATGTATGTGTTGTGGTTGTTGTGGGTTTTTCGGGCTCTTTGGCCATGTTCTGAAGGTTGTTCTTCCTAACGTTTCGGCAGTCTCTGTGGCCGGCATTCTCAGAGGACAGCACTCTGTGCTACAGGGATGCTGTAATGAAACAATGCTGGAAAAGTTAGGGCCACTTTCACATAGCCATGAACTAATTTTTTGTTCCGTGTATCTTTGCAATTTGATCAGGGGAGATGTTAAGGAGAATTTACATTGTTTCTTCTGCTATCTTGTCATATATTTAAAGTAGCAGGTCTATTTGCTGATATTGCAGTTGTATCTTGGTCCTGTTTTTATTGTGATTCTTTACTTTGAAAAAAAGTACAACAGAATCTCTCCCCCCCCCACCCCATTTCTAAGAGCTGTCCTCTGAAGATGCCGGCCACAGAGACTGGCGAAACGTTAGGAAGAACAACCTTCAGAACACAGCCAAAGAGCCCGAAAAACCCACAACAACCATTAGATCCCGGCCGTGAAAGCCTTCTCGAATACAATGTATGTGTTCTTCACAAATGTTGTGCACCCACTGCTCCATTGACTCTATAGAGTCATACATACAGTTCACACTCTCAGTGCAATTGTGCCCTTTTGGAAACTTCACATATATTTAGGCAAATCACATGCAGCTTTGCCTAGCTCACATCTCTTCTGTGGTTTGCACTTGGATATCCTGAAGGACTCATCTCAACCTCCATCATATCAACAACCTGACTCTTCACTCTGAACTCTCTGATGAAAATGTACACAGGTATGACATAGCAGCTCATTTCTGAATAAATTAACGTTTCTCAGTAGTAAGTGACAGTGGGTGCCAACATACAGTGCATTAAGGCACAGATTAATCAGGTAAATATTCCTAGAAATATCAAATCCTGAGGAAGTTGTTCATCTGCAATGTGGCAGTTATTCATCCTTGAGGACAGCCATTCTCAACAGGGACCATATGTGTCTATGGAACATCTGAAAGGGGACCCAGATTGGAAACAACTCTTCACACCCACCTTATAAGGTTCGTTGTGCAACTTATAAAATCCTGATCTGACCTACATTTCTCTCACACTGGGATTAATAAAGGTTGAAAATGGCTTCTTGAGGATATTTTATGTTGGCTCAGTTTATATACAGGCAATTATAGTCCTAGTAAATGAGCCCCGTCTCCTTTCTAGGCTAGAGTGGAGAAAAATGCAGTCCTCCAGACTTAATTCCCATCAGCACTAGCCAGCTTCACCACTGGGAATAGGATACTTCTGAAACAGAGAATCTATGGACAACAAAGCCATACTATCAAAAGATAATCTACAGTGTATTTAAACTCAACCAACATGTCCTAAACACATTTTAAGGAAATGTAGTCAGAATATAGATACAGACATACTGGTCATAAAAGACTTTGAGTAAGTATGTCAGAGAAGGCAAGAGCAATGCCATCAAGAGACTAGACTCCCTTTTGAGCCTCGATTCCTAGAAGGGTGACTCAAGGCAGAATGGTCCAGCTGAGACACCAGACAAAGATGTATCCACCCTCTTCAGGATCAATGGTTGCATCAGCAAAAGAAAATGGATAGTTCCAATGGTGATGGGGCGGAGAAACTTCTGAAAGGCAGCTACTGGGCAAAATCAGTAACTGAAGGTGATGCTGGCAGAGGATTTTTCACAGACAGTGGCAGCGATATTCAATCTAACTTTTGTTAGTAATGAACAGAAAGAGGCAATGGTAAATCTCTACTGAACCTTTCTTATCTTGAAAAACTTATGAGACAACCCAAAATGAAACCATACAACTACTAGTCTTCATTTAGACAAATCCCCCCAATCAAAAAAGAAAAAAAAGGTTCATTTCCAACTGTGCTCCTTAATAATCTTCCCATCATAACAGGAAAAGATTAATAAGAACTGAGCAAACGTTTGAATCTCTGATTCCTTTTCAACACTTTAGAATGCCTATCACCATTTTCATGATACTAGGCGACTGACATATAGGTCTACAGTAAGTCCTTTCACACTGGAGAAAATAAAATAGGTTCTCTGTACATATATTGAAAGTACAATGGTAGCTCTAGTTCTTTTTTGAAGGATGAACATAAATAGGCATGTGTCCGGTTCTGTTCAGGACTGGAAATAAATCATTTCGGTTACATAGACATTATTCTCTAAAATATTCTTGTCTTTAATGCATCGTTACTTATCCATATATGATGCCACAGTGCTAGACTGATTTAGGATGATTGGCATTACTTACCAATTGGCATTGCTGTCTCCTGTTAGTGTATCTATTCCACTCTCAGATGAATATAAGAAATTTGTAATGTTTATATTTTCCCTGGGCAAGAATTCATGTGTGCTTAGATTAGATATTTATAATAAATATCACTGTTTATTTGTTATTTTTGTTTGGTTGTGTATATTGTGATGTGCTTTGGGAACACCAGTTAAAAAACAGACGAGAGATCTGCTAAATAAGAGAACTGCATTTAGACATTAATTATTCAATTTAATAAAACCCATATTTATTGTTCACGCAAAATCACTAGAACAGATCGACTATCTATTAAATATCTACGAAAATAATGACAGTTTTTGTGCAATTCTAACATTTTTCCTTCCAGCACGGTATGTTTTGGCTTTGCTCACTATTATTGTTTTGTTGACTAAACCCATATGGAACTGTCTTTTCAGTCTTTGTAGCTTAGCCTATTTCTTATGTGTTAACCACAAATGCATTCAAATATTTTCTGCTTTATTAGTGACAATACTCAATAATGTTGGACTAAAACTTGTACATGTCTTCAGGGACTACATTCTAATCCACAATACTGCAATATACTCATAAGAATATCAGCAGCTTATGAGTTTTCTTGGTGTTATTACCGGCAGCCAAGTTACTTGACTGGGATCAAACATAAAGATGTACAATATTGAAAGAGTGGTTTTACTAGAGACACACAAACACACCAGTGAATTTCCATGGCTTACTGGGGATTTGAACCCTGGTCTCCTGAGTCCTAGTTTGACACACTGTCCACAATAGCACCATATATCCACTGGCTTGTAAAAGTTAAGGCAAGACGTATTCCATAGCCCATTGTTTTTAAAGCTTGATTGTGCCTAATTGCTCTTTCCACAATATAAACTAGCAAATTAATGTTAAATATTAATTTCTTGTAAATTAACAGAGTTCCTTGTATGCACATATGCTTTTTACTCCATTCCAATGAGGAGGAGAGTCACCTGGGCCATCTAAAAATACAAATAAACTATCATAAGAAAAAAAGACATAAATAAACAACCCATACATAGGTACACAGAAAGAAAGAAAAACATATTATATGTTTGCATGGCCAAACAAAATTGAACATTTGATTGGGGATGATATTCATTACAGTCTCTTGGGAGCCATGGCAACAGACTATAATTTGTTATCATCAAGGACTTCATGGGCAAAAAACACCCAACCCTGCATTAAGATGAAACCATTTTTGATGAGACTCGATCTCTTTCAGCCTGTGATGCCAGATATGGTGGGCAAAGTGCTTGACCGCTGTCGTGTCACCACCTCCTCCCTTGACCCTTGCTTGGCCTGGCTAATCAAAGCAGCCAGGCCAATAACAACCAAATGGGCCACTGCAATAATTTATTAGTCTCTCCAGGAGGGAAAGGCTCCCCTTGCCCTCAAGGAGACACTTATTAGGCCCATTAGGAAGAAACCAAGTTTGGCGGTGGATGACATTGGCAATTATAGGCCCATCGCCAATGTTTCTTTCCTCAGCAAAATGGTGGCTGGCCAGCTCCAGGCCCTTTTGGATGAAACCAAAACATCCTGGATCCATTTCAGTCAGGCTTCAGGCCGTGCCATTGCTTGCCCTGTTTGATGACGTGCTGAGGGAGGCCAACAGGGGCAAAATGTCCCTGTTGGTCCTTCTTGATATCTTAGCTGCCTTTGATACCGTTGACCAAGGTATCTTCCTGGGGAGACTCTCTGAGCTGGGAATCAGAGGTCTGGCGCTTGCCTGGCTCCGATCCTTCTTGGAGGACCTTCCCCAGAGAGTACAGCTTGGGGAGAGTGTATCGGCTCCATGGAACCTTAATTGTGGGGTCTCGCAGGGCTTGATTATCTCCCCAATGCTGTTTAATAACTACATGAGGCCACTGAGTAAGGTCATCAGGGGGTTTGGGGCTTCGTGTCATCAATACACTGATGACACCCAGTTCTATATATCCTTTTTTTCCAACAACAGTGGATGCTGTTGCGTCCCTTCAGCGCTGTCTGGAGCGGGAAACCCCCTCTCATTTAGGGGGGGGACTCTCACTGCGAAGAGTGAGGTTCACAGTTTGTGGATACATCTGGACCCGGCACTCACCATGGAAACTCAGGTGGTGTCAGTGGTCCGCACTGCCTACTTCCATCTTTGGTGGATTGCCCAGCTGCATTCCTATTTTGATGTCGGGGCCCTCACCACTCTGGTCCATGTGCTTGTAGTCTCGAGATTAGACTACTGTAATGTGTGGAGCTATCTTTGAGATTGATGCGGAAGCTTCAAATGGTGCAGAATGTGGCGGCCAGACTTCTTACTGGGGTGAGAAAACATCAACATATCTCCCCTACTCTGGCTGCCTTGCATTGGCTGCCCATTTGTTTCCGCACTGATTTAAAAGTACTAACAATGACATATAAAGCCCTAAATGGTATAGGACCTCAATATCTGGCGGAGTGCCTCCTCCCACCGAGATCTACCCGAATCACTCACTATAGTCAAGATGGGCGGCTGAGGGGCCTAACGCTGAGGGAGGCCTGAAGAGAAAGAACAAGAAAGTGGGCCTTCTCGGCAGTGGCCCCTTGCCTCTGGAACAATCTCCCCCCAGAAATTTGTCTGGCTTCCTTGCTGGGTGTTTTTAAGAGCAAAATCAAGACCTGGCTCTTTAAGCAGGCCTTCCCTCCTGTCAATGCCTAATTTATTTATTGCCATCTTCAATTGTATCAATGTTGTTGTTTTATTTTATTTTATCAGTATTTGGAGTGTTGTTAGCCACCCAGAGTAGACTTTGGTCTAGATGGGCGGAGTATCAATTAAATAAATAAATAAGTAAATGTTATTTTGATTTTAAGGTATTTTTGTATAGCACATCAAGGAGAACCATTCATAAGAAATGAAGAAAGAAAAGTGCAGCTAAATTAATTAAAGCAGGATAGGGTCAAGCATGGCTTGCAGGCTACATATGACTTCCCCTACAGTCCATATGCAGCCCTCTTGGGCCTCTAACTTCTCTACATTTTTGAAAATAATGATTTTGCTAAAAAGAAGGGCCCTTGCATCATTTAAGGAGGGTGATTTCATTATGTTTTACTCTCCAAAAATTGCTTTAGGCCTAGAAGATCTTTTTCGAAACTGCAAGTGAATTTTTCTAAAACAGTTCCGGGTAGGCCACAAACACAGCAAATCCTTTTTAGGTAAATATATATTTATTTATATAAAATGTGTAGCTTTGGGCAGATTTGAGGTATGAGTGGAAGGGTATCCCTCCAATATCCAGGGGTGGATGTGGGCTTCCCTTGAACCTCAGGATTGCCCAGCCTTGAATTAAACTTCCATGCCAACATTTGTGGCAGAAAATTCAGGTGTGTACAGTATGACAACAAATTAAGTGGTTTCCCCCAACCTGGTGATCCCCAGGTGTGTTAGATGGCAGCTCCCATCATCTATTGAGCATGGCTTTGGAGCACACCTACCTTTATTCCCGTCCAGCACTGCCAAGACCTAGCTACAGAAGGATGATGGGAAGTTGTACTCTGACATATTTGGAGAGTGCGCCAGAGAGGGAAACTAAGAGACTGAAGAGTATTCAGAGGGAACCAATAGTGAAGACAGTTTGGATGGCTCCACTCTTGGTATTTTAATTGTCAATTTATACACTCAATGCACTTGCCACCTCTTTTTATTACTTTCTATATTTACCGAGGAGCTAGGCAGAATCTTTGTCCCCTTAGAGGTTGGTGTCTTGGCCTATATTCTGGACCTGGCAAGGGGAGAAAGAAATACTGTATTAGTTTTCAATGTCCAGGAAACAGCAGGAAATGCTATCCTCATAACTCTTCAGAATTTCAAAAAATAATATCAGGAATTTGCATTCCACACACCAATAAATAAATCCAAGGATACACTCTTTAAAAAAAATAATTAGAATCCTATTGATTATTTATGCATGGGGAAGAGAAAATACAGGCATCAGCATGGCTTTATTCTAGCTTACTACTGGGGTGCTGTGTGTGTGACAGGTACACAACCAACATGCACCCACTACCTCATTAGTAAGTCATGGCGATGTCTGTGTTTTCTCTCATGGGTGCATAAATGGCCAAGATGATTTTGGCCACGTTTTTCTGTACTGCTTTGGGGTTTTTGTTGTTGTTCTTTTTGCTATTTTAGTTTCATTTGTATCATATAATTTTTGTTATAAGTCATAATACACTGTAGAGCTAGAAAAAGTAACAGTGGAAATGGTAGGAAGTGCAGTTTTTATCATGGACCATCTTGATGTAGCACCTGATGAGAAGATGTTTATATAAACAAGGTCACAAAGAGAAGAAACATACAATGTTTCACATAAGGACAAAAATTCAGTAAAGTTAATATTCTACACATAAGCTCCCTTTCTGGTTTAGTGGTCACCATCAAATATTTTAAATCAGAGCTTGGAAGGTTACTTATTTGGATGAAAACTCCCAGACCAACCCAGCTAGCCATTGTCTTTCAAAATAAAAAGTTTGTCAAATTCTGGTTCACCTGGGCTTTTTCAGAATCCCAAATATAGCTATTTAAGCATATATGTTTCTATTATGAATGGCTAGCCAAAATACCATAGACAGATTAGTTTTCTTTAGAAAGAGCTGGTTGGAAAGTTCCACCTATTCTGCCTCTCCTTCAAGGAACCTCGAGATGCACAAACTTACTCCCTTTTTGTCCTCATAGTAGTGCCTACCTCCGACTCCCCAGATGTCCTCATCTGTCCATTTCATAAAAGTATCAAAAGTCCTAAAGAGCAAGAAGGGACTTGCCACAGTAGAAATGTCTAAAAGGCAGAGAGTGCCCCTTTCAGCACCACTAGGGACTGAAACCACTGAAGGATGCCCCAGTGAAATAATAATCTTAGATAATCTTCGAACTGCAGAGCTGGAAGGGACCCTAAGGGATCATCTAGTCTACTGCTTGTCGAGAAGGCACAGTAGGGATTTGTACTCCCAACCTTAGGCTCTGTAGCCAAATTCTTAAATCACTGAGCTATCCAGCAGTTAATAAACAATAAAATAAGCAAGCACACAGAAAAAAAGGGAGGGACGCTTTTTTAAATTTCCTGACTCTCCAGACATTTAAACAAACAAACAAACTACGCCCAAACCCAGTGAGTGGCATGGTGCAGGAGAACTCTGTAATTTATTTAACAGGACAAACAAACAAACAAATCCAAAAACCACTTTTCAAAACTGAAAGTAAACTTTCTGCCATTTCTAGTTTCGTTTTCTTCATTTTGGACAGTCTGTGTAGCCCATGAGGTGTTAGTAGGCATAAAATTGCTTCACCTTCCCGAGACCTACGAAATTGATCCTCCCTGATGAAAAATAACCGCCAAGATTCACAGAAAGCTGAATCAGCAGTGACAGTTGGTCATTGCGCCTTACTCGTTAAAAAGTTATGATTTGTACATGGTAAAGTATTCAGCTGGTGTTTTTCCGGGTTGTCCTTCCTTGAGAGGCCTTTGTGCGTAACTTGAGGAAGAATTCATGCTTTCCTCTCATAGCACCTATGAAGGAACTGGCACTTTTCCTTCTTCCTCAGTGACAGGATCAAGTGTGAGCAAAGCTGTATGTTACACAGGACTTCACTCATGAAGCACTATTCCTGATCTAAAGGAACTCAAGCTGCACCACCCCCTTCCTTCCTGGGCAGCAGATACTGCAAGAAGAATTAATGCTTTCTTTGAATTTTCAGCTAGCAACTTGCTTGTCTTTGGTTCCGATGGGCAGTCAAGAAGGAAGGATGGAAATAGCTCAGCTTCCTTTCTTCTCAGATAAATTTGTGTGGCATAAGAAGACTGGAAGTGTTTGGAGACCCTATGCCCTGAGAAATGTTCAGCCTGGTTCTGTCCTCTGTTGTTACAGTCTTTCCACCTCATCCAAGAACTGTCTATATAGAGAGTAATAAGACTGGAGGCAGCAGTTTCTTAAAATGACAAATTAAGCTTCTGGTTCTTCAGCTGATAAATTAACACATGTTCTAAACTTGATGTTAATATAGGGGTATATAGCAAGATGATTAATATAGAGCTGCCAGATTATGGTGGTGAAATGGAGGAAAATTACAGACAATTAAGTGTGATATTTTAATTATCTCATTGAAAGACTGAACACAACTCAGGCTTAAAAGAGGAAACAGCTTGACTGCAATTGTAAGCTCAATATGAAGTATATCCAAGAGCCATTAAACAGTGATCCTACACAAATGTTCCATCATGCTTTACAGCTCTGGACAACAAATGAGGATTTGAAACTACAGGCTATAATTTATGTTTTACTTTTAAAAAAACCACCACAAAACAAAATGATTTCATTAAAAAATAATTTAGACAATTAGTTATCTGCAAAATATACTGTATGTGTTTACCTGGAGGCTGGCATCCAGATGAATAACCAGGTGGCTGAGGTCCCCTCCATGAGCCTTCCCTGTCGTGATGATGGTAAGGATAAGGATGAGACCAAGCTCTGCTTGGGTTCTGAAAGCGAGAACCTCCACCTCTTTCTTGCTTCTCTGAAAAAGAATTCATTCCCTTTGAAACAGATGGTTCACTAGTTCACGGAATATATTGGAATAATGTTTCAGCTGATTACAATCTGAGGATTCAAAGAGCACTAAAGAAATAATTATCTTGAGTAAATTTACTGCTTCAAGCAGCTTCTCAGTTTCACATGCAAAAAGCCGCGTAGGCAACCATGCGTACCTTTCATGTTTTCTCATATGAACAGCATGGGTGTGCCTGGTTTGCCACTCAGACGGCCAATCAAGGCTTTCCATAGGTACACACAGGGTATACACAATTTATGACATGGAATGGTATTTGCATCATCTACAATATATCCCTTGGTTCCCCTTTATTTCTGTATCAACCACCAGTTTATGCAGCAACTGTATTTATACCAGGACCCATCAAAATCTTAAATATAAAACTTGACAAAACTGGCAAAATGTTTGTTCAAAAGCATGGCTTCCCACTGGCAACCTCTCTCTGAGCTCACTGCTTCAGCACAGTCTCACAGGACATCTCAACTTTGCTTAGAAGTGACTGGTACTATTAATAGGATGGATTTGTTGGAGAACTGAGGCCCACCTGTCATAAAGCTAGTCAGTCGCTGTTTGCTTTGGATTTTTCTACCTCTCACAGAACATGTTTTGCAAATAAGGGACGTCAGATTCTGAAACTTTGCGATCCAAGATTCCTGCAGACAAGAGATAACAAAGAATAATACTGGCAAATTATCTTTCTTTTTATATACGGTAGTCTGCATCAAAATAACATCTTCAAAAATTCACATCAAAAGGTTATGCCCACTAACCACGGCACAGAATTAAATTCATGGTTTCTGCTTTCAAACATGCAAACGCAAATCATGGTTCTGCCTTGTCCACTTTCCTTTTTCATCCACCCAGCTTTAAACAAGTATAGATTTTATCAAAATAAAACTAATATAAAACAAATATGAGCTTTTATTCGCGACACAGTAGTGTAAGTCCCTGGATGTCCTTCTCCCAGTACCACATTACAACAGAAACAGGAAGAAACTATTTTTTTCCACAACATGTCTTCATGTACTCAAGACGATTCCCGTATCTATGCTTCCGGTTATTACTCCTGCAGCTACAGGAGAAAAAATAATAATACCAGGAAACATGTTTCAGTTCAACAAAGTGGTCTCTCACTGTAGTAAAATGAAGAGATAGAAAACGTGGGAGACTGCACAAAGATAATTCACAAATTATTATTTTATTTGTATTTTAAAAAATAAAATAAAAATAAACATAGGCTTAACTTCTCCTAAAATAGGAAAGTTGTTTCCCCAGCTACAAACTAGCACACATACAGTACTTACATTAACTTCCAAAAGCTCCTTTAAAGGGTACCCTCTGTGAGCCTGCTGGTATTTCTCTTGGAAAAGTTTCCCATCAAATATATGCCACGGCATTAAATCTTCCATTCTAAAGGGGAAGCCACAGGTACTATTGGCCATCATCAATACACCGAGACCCCGGATGAAAAGAGAGCCAAGATGTACAGCTCTTGAATCAATCTCGCCAAGCTATTGAAAGTTTAAAAATAAGAGATATTTTTGTTCAAAACATTCCTCCATTTCAATTAGGTTCACAGAAACATTTGCCTAGTTCTTAATGCTGGCAGCAAAATTAGTGGATAATAATAGGAGAAAGGCAGGATATAAATAATTTTTTTAAAAAAAAAAATCACAGTTCCTCAACATCAACTGAAAAGAAATGTAGTTGTCTATTTTGCTAACTTCTTCCATTATGCACAAATCCTGTGGCTAGCACTTGCCACCCTTTAGAGAAAAAAAAATACTGTATATATAAAGAGATAAAATCCATTCAGTTTACAGGGAGATGAGCAGCAGTTCAGCCGGCATACGTCACAAACCAACTCAGAATTACAAGGTCCTAGATATTTAAAAGGCCCATGAGATCCTTTCAGAAGATTCTTTAACAAGTAACCAGGCAGGCAACTGCACATTTTGTGGTAAATGAACTAAAGGAAGAATAACAC